CAGCAGGAGAAGAAGACAAGTAATTGCTTCAATTAAGAAAATAGAATTATAAGGTAATGGGTTCTCTGATTATTGCTGATAACTGATTCCAGGAGCTGGGTGAAAGTGACTCATCGTAATAGGGAGATAGAGCCAGGAAAGGTATGTGTGTGCAAACGGTTTTGTTTAGAGGTCAAATTCCCCATTATACCAGAGTTCAAGGAAAGAAATATTATTGTTAGGATTAATGAACGAATCACAACACGGACGCACAGGCAGAGTGGAGGTGCTGTCCACTAGAACTACATATTAAATCGATGCGTTTTCTCGTCAGGTGCTGTAGCAGCCTTCTCCGTGGGCCACATCAAGGTGACCTGGGCCGTATGGGGAGAGCTGGCATTAGGGCTGTTCTCAGCCATAGGGGCAGGCGCTGTGTTTCTGATGGCGTTCACCAGCAGTATCTGGGCATGCTATGCTGGTTATGCCATATTCAAATCCTGCTACATGTTTCTCATCACCATCACAGCGTAAGTTCACTGTAAAACGTCTCCATCGAAGCCATTTTTGTGCAGTTCTATTGTAGCTTTTTCTCATCAGTGCCTCCTTTGTACTTTAAGTTTTCAGATTGCATCTAACCTTTCCACGGAGTGCTACGCTCTGACATTCGGGATCAACACTTTTGTAGCCCTCTCACTGCAGACCATCATTACCATCATTTTTGTTGATGAAGCTGCACTGGGACTGGACATTGTGACTCAGGTACATTGGTACATTATACACATCTTACTTCTATATTGTCATGGCAGAACACTGATTTAATAGACATTCTTTGGGTGAATGTAGTTAAGCTTACTGTTAAATGTGAGGACAGGGTGACACCTAGTGGTGATCATTCACTGCTGCATGTTTGATGTACATAGATCCTTGGCATGACTGAAATAATAACGTTGTGGATGACAGAAGCCTCTCTCTGCAGTTCATCATCTACGGCAGTTACTATGCCGTCATCTCACTGCTCTTCCTGATTCGAGGGGCTTACACCGCCTCCGTAAACTGTCACAGTGCTGAGCAGAAAGAAACCAGGCAAGAGTCCAGTGTGGAAGTGATCGCCACTGAACGTTTCTAACCAAGGAGAACAAACTGTTCAAGTCCGGATGATACCAAATGGCCATGCAACTGTGTCATTTGTTTATGGGGAATAAAATAATCATACAACATGAACACTACAATGGCCTTCAGACTGAACCCATAAATGTTTTCCAAATTAGAGGAGAGCCGGTATGGTTAGAACACTTTGCTTCAGTGCCTGTAACTCACTGAATTTTTGAGCTATAGTTCTCAAACTTGTATACAAGGTATCCACATTTCTTTATGACAAATGCCACCAATTCAGATGTCTGCAAGAATATCACAGACCTCATGAGTTGCTGTAACACATGCTGTGGTAAGTTGTAACACCTGGATAAAAGCAAAAGCCAGTTATGTTGCAAAATAAAAGAGCAATCCAGACAAATGTCTCTTTCTGTGACTGACCATATCTCAGATTCACTTTGACTCAGTGTGCTTGTAGGAACACTGGTAACACTGTGTACTGTGTACTGTGGTGCAAGTGTGTGCGTGGGGGCAGAGACTACTCAGCACACATTTTACCCACACTTCTTTTGGCTTTTTTAAAAACATTAGTAGCCACACCTATGTGACTCTTTATTTTCCACTACCTAGGTGTTCTGTAAAATCATTAAAATTAACAAAGTGTTTAGTTGTATGTAACGGGATGGATGTAACGATGTATTACAACTCACCCCAGCCCTGTCAGCCATTGTTTAACTAGTTGTGTAAAAAAAGTCCCAAAAGTTTATACTGTAGTGGTTACTTTCCTAGGTCAGGGACCTTTAAGTTGAAGCATGAAGCAGCCTACTGACGTCACTTCTACTGGGTGTGTAGTATGAGTGTCGAGTGGTGCTTGTCTGCTTAGTGATGGAGATATGTGGTCGTGCGTTAATACTATGTAAGTATTATCAGTTACGGGGAAGCGGGTGTATGTGATAGCTGGTAAAGTGTTCATTAATAGTGCACGTCGCTAACTTTGTTATTCTCGCTACGCACATCCTTTCGTGTTCCTTAAGCATGTGTCGTAACTTAATTTCGAATTAGTTTATAAATAACAGATCTCTGTATACTTTGCTCATCCAGCCTTACGTTAATATGTATTATACTTATGCCCACGGTAATGTGCCTATAAGATGCATATATCTTAAATCCTTATTCATTGTATTTGTATCTATATTATTTGCAGGAAAACCACACCCAAATGTAATCTTTGTATGAAAATTGTTTTAAAGGATCGTTAACTACAACTTCAAGCACCTGATTCATTCTGGGAATGTATGGGCCTTAAGTGGTGTTCTGGCCGAGGTGACCATAGTGTTATAAGGACTGACCAGTGCCATAGACATTTGGAGTTTTCCTTGCTCACAAGTTGCATTGGCATAGTACTTTGAAATTAGCAAGGGAAAAATGAGTCACATTTTGCCAGGAGGAGCTAGAATTTAATCTAAGTCATATGATTTTGTCTGAAATAGTATAAGCACTAAACAAAATATAGTCTAGGTCGTAAAAGTTACTTTATTACCTCAAAATCAATTTTGGCTTTATAGAATCTGCATGGAGCCGTTTCCAACCCTGACAACCTTCATGTGGGATTGGAGGAGACATGGCTAAACGCCAAAATGATCATAAGTCTCCCATCTTATTCCTAACTGGAGGAACTCTACCCATGTTACAACAATACCCGGTCTCCTCTAGATTCTTGTAGCTATAACAAGTTGTAGAAGTAAAGAGGAAATCAAACAGCATGATAAAGCTGCAGTTATTAATGAAGTTCAGTCCATTTAACATTAAATCTACAGCACAATGAAGTGTGCACAAGGTGAAGTGGTGCGACTACTTTAATATACTGTATATCCACTTCATAAAGTCTTTAACTTTGTCTGTTTCCTTGTTTAATTTGCTCAGCTAAACCATCACCTATGTTGTAATGCTCTTTGACCGGGTTGTTGATTGACCAAACTGAGCTCAACACATTTCCTTGTGGGAAACGAGGCAAGGCAGAAAGAGCTGCACGCCGCGGAACGAACACACACACACACACCTGAGAAGAGCAGAAAAACAGAAGATGGAGGCAGTAAAGAGGTGGAGGTCAGACTGGAGGTATCCCACCACTCTACTGTGCACCTACGGATTCTTCAGCACAGTTAAACCCCTGGAGCCTTTCCTCATCCCATACATGACGGGACCAGACAAGAATCTGACAACACAGCAGGTACAAAAGCACAAGACAAATTACTAAATGAATCAGAAAAACAGAAAGCAAGTAAATATATGACCATTTGTTTTGTCAGTGTGGTGCCAGATACACACATAAAATAAAAATAAAAAACTAAAATGCCCTATGTTCTTAATTTTGTATTTGCAAATATTTAAATTTACCGATTAAATGAGTAAGAAATATTACAATGAGTGGTAAATCTTCACTAATGACTATAAAACCTTTGATTTATTGCTATGATGCAGTATAGTTCCTGTCTTACATGCAGTGGCTCTAGCATTTACTACACATTTCCTCCTCAGGTTAATAATCAGATTTTCCCAGTGTGGACATACTCCTACCTGTCTGTGCTGGTGCTAGTGTTTCTGCTGACTGACTGGCTACGTTACAAGCCTGTGGTGGTGTTCCAGTGCGTTATGCTCTTCATCACCTCCTCACTGCTGCTCTGGACAAAAAGTGTGCCAGCCATGCAGGCCACGCAGTTCTTCTACGGGGTGGTAACAGCCAGCGAGGTGGCCTATTTCTCCTACATTTACAGGTTGTGTACCATAAAAAGGCACAGCGAGGCACCAGTAAATGCAGGTGTCAGAGTTTTGGATGTCACATTGTTAGCACTACACGGCATTTTAACTGTGATGTTTATTACAGCGTGGTAGATCTGAAGAGATACCGCAAGGCCACCTCTTACAGCCGCAGTGCCCAGCTCCTGGGGTACACAGTGGGCTCGGTGCTGGGCCAGCTCCTTGTCAGCTTCAGCCTCATGTCCTACAACAGCATCATGGTGTTTACTCTGGTTCTTATCGCTATTGCTCTCCTTGCTTCAATCCTCCTGCCAATGCCAGATCAGAGCATGTTCTTTCATCGCAGACATACTGGACAAAACAATTCAGCAGAGGAAGACAGGACTGTGGACGCAACAGAACACACAAGTAGCTCAATGGTATCCTTGGAAGAAATGAGAGATGAAAAGGTGGAGAAAGGAGGAGAAGCAAAGAAAGAAGAAGCAAAAGGAGTGGGAGAAAAGGAGCCTAAGGCCGAGGACACCGCAGAGACTGTTGGTGCAGAGAGCTGCAGCAAAGTTCTCCTCCGGCTGTGGAGGGACTTCTGCCACTGCTATTCCTCCAGACAGCTGCTCTATTGGTCCCTGTGGTGGGCAATGGCCACCTGTGGCTACAACCAGACTATCAACTATGTGCAGGTCAGGTGTCAAGGCAGTTTCAACAAAAAAGTGAAAATTAAAGGCATGCTATTTTGAAAATCTGATTGCACCAATCTAAATCACCAAGTGAGTTTGAAGCACATCATACTGTGCCACTCCTTCCAGTTCACACCATTAAGTGTCTTAATTAAAACAACTTTTCTTTGGCTCATTAATCATGGATGAAACTCACCAGCCATGAAGAAGAGATTAGTGATAACACGTTACTTGATTTCCAGCAAGATTTAAGTTGCTGTCAACTAATAGGCCGGAATGTTAAAACACAAATCACACCGTCACTAGGGTTACACTTTGTGTGTGTGATTAGTATATTCAAATCACTGCACTATATCCTTCAGGTGCTGTGGGAGCATGTGCAGCCTTCTCAGAACTTCAGTATTTACAATGGAGGAGTAGAAGCGGTGTCCAACTTGTTCGGTAAGTAACGTTTACATTACAAAATACTGGCTAGGAAATGAAAAACAGAAACAAATAAAGTCTATAGCAGGGGTGGGCAATTCTTAAGGGCCACTGACCTGCTTGTTTTCCAACTATTCTTGCCCTACCCACTGCTGATTACCTGGATCAGGTGTGACCATTCAATCAGAAGCTGGAAGATGCCAATTCACTTTCTTTCCTCACTCCACCTTCATCTAAAATGGTACCTTCCAGCTTCTGACTGACAGAACACACCTGATCCAGGTAATTAGCAGTGGGTAGGGTAGGGATAGTTGGAAAACAAGCAGGGTAGCATGGCAGATGGTCAATCCTTAAGGAACAGGATTGACCATCTCTGGCCTATAATGTTAATTGCCCCATCGTTACAGCCACTACATGGAATGCTATTCCACCAACTTTAGGTATATACAGTAACTACTTAAAAAGGCAAATGACATGACAGCTTTGGGTGACAGATAATCAAACTGGTATTCTGGGTGCTTATTCAGTTATCTCTGCTACACCGATCCTAAATCAATATGTTCTGCAGGTGCAGCTACAGCCTATGGTATAGGCTTCACTGAGGTGAGATGGGAACAGTGGGGAGAGCTGGCTCTGGGTGGTTTCTCTGGACTCGGGGCAGCAGCACTCTTCCTCATGAGCTTCGTCAGCAACATCTGGGTCTGCTACACTGGTTACGTCATTTTCAAGAGCCTATACATGCTGTTAATAACAATAGCCATGTAAGTTTGTTATGTCATATAATAATAAGAGGTTGTGTTTTACCCCATGAAAAAGAACAATAAAATACTCAACAAATAAAATACTTCTCTCAGGTACCAGATTGCAGCTGACCTGTCATTGGACAGATATGCACTGGTCTTTGGAATGAACACCTTTGGCGCGTTGGTTCTACAGACGATTATCACTTCCGTTGTGGTTGACAGTGGAGGACTGGGCCTGGCCATCATTCCTCAGGTAGGCTATCTGATCAGAAATTATGTGCAGAGGCGTTTATTAGCCCACTTATCACAGTTAGAAACTCATTAACTGTGTGCTCTTTTGCAGTTCATCGTATATGCCAGCTACTTCTCAGTCATCGCCGTTGTTTTTTCACTTCGAGGACTCTTCACCATTTGGAGAGTACAGAGGAGCAAAACAGAGACGACCCCACCAGACAAAAATGAATCTCCAGGCGTTGATGAGGACAGATTCTGAATATATGGAATTTTGCACTGGAAACTGAGATAATCACATGTGCCTTTGATTCCCATTGTGGCCACACGCCGGTTTAAAAGCAGAAAAACCTTCAAATTACTGACTAACACCATGGATATAAATGGATTTTTAAAAAACAGGAATGAATGGTTTGGTCATTTCTTCTTACTTAAAATTAATTTTAATATATATATATATATATATATACATACTGTATGTATATTTACATATTAACTTAAGATTCTCTAATACCCAATGTAAGTGGTTTTCAGTTCAGTCATTCCTGTTGCCCACACATGGATGTGGTTGATTTTACGTCAGGGCTTCTGTCAGCAGGCCAGGGGATAGCAGAGAAACAAGTCCTCTGCCCGTCCCTGATTTTCATCTCTCAACAACAGATTATACATTCTTTTTTCTTTAGCGAGAGCAGTTTATCTAAGAGGTTCTTGCACAAATAAACAGTCAGATTCTTTACAAATACAGTAACTGGCAGTACCCATTAGCGTTTCCAAGCAACAGTCCTGTCTCAATAAATCTTGTGTTAGATGCAAATACTGATATACACAAAGAGCTAATTTCTTAAAGGAAAAATATGTACAGAACTGCAGCATAATGAATGGAATACACTGTATACAATAACTTAGTTTTCAGCCAGTTTGATTATGCATTGTGGCTCAGTGGAGGCCAGGCCAGTTCACAGGTTAAATAGAGAAGAGTGGATCAACCTCTCCCTCTGCACACACCATCACTGTGTGGTGTAGCCATAGACAGTGTCGGTGTGACTGTCTGTCATATTGTTCCATTTGTGACAAACTGCGATAGAAAATGCACATCCTTACAAACAATGTGTTTTTAAAGCTACTTGTGAAATGAGACAGTGCAATAGGTGCAGGCGCGGCAGTTGTTGACCCTGTAGTGCAGGTGACTGGATGGATCGCTATAAGAAGGGATTTGTTGAAGAGCTTCCTGCCGGATACTGTGCAGATGGACCTGCACCCTAAGAAGCAAAAAAAGGGATGCAGAGAAGGATTTATTACTAATTCCTATTCATGTGGTGAAAATCAGGTTAAGAACACAGAATGATCATGTCTGGCTTTGACCCAACAATAATTTTGGCTCATGAGACTGCAAACCCCTTCACTCCTCTGTGTAAAACTAATTCTTACACAGGAAATGAGGCCATGTCTCCCTCTTACTCACCAGGAAAGGGTTGCTTGAGACCATGGGTCCAGCCATTGCCTGGCCAAAAGGAGTCACAAAAGGCTTGGCCTGTCCAAAGGCTGGAAACCCTCCACCTAAAAAAAAACATGCACGTTGTCATCAGAGACTGTCATTAAGGACATGTAATGGAATATCCACCCACCCCAAAAATGAATTACAGCAACAACACACCAAATAAGACATCTTTACTCAGGTTCAAATCTAATACCACACCAGAATAGAATAGCCTAAATCCAAAGTGACATTCTTTAAGGAATTTATAGTAAATGCAACAATGGCACAACTACTCAGTTGGCTGCACACATACGGCTGAATGTCAGCTTGGTTATTAATGCAGAGAAGCCTAAACTGTATTGATCTACACAAAGACACGCACCATTGGGTTGCTGAGGATATGCCTGAGGCTGAGGGAAAGGAGCCTGGCCAGGAAAGGGTTGCTGGAAGGTTCCACTAAAGCTGGTTGGAAGGTTGTAGGCAGCAGCATTCCCAAATCCAGCTGGCATACTCATGGAGCCTGTGCCAAATGATGCTGTTAACATAGTCAGGCAACAACTGGTTAAAGAACCCTATATAAAACTCAACTAAACCCAATGGCATACAATGGCATAGGCACAAAAGTGGTGTGAAAGCATATGCCTATTGCTTCTTTTTATTTAAAATCATGATGTGAATTTCAGTGCGCACACACACACACACACACACACACACAAAGGACTTTAAAATCTTAGATTACACAGAAGCTGGCACACAACATAAAACAAAAGGTGTAAATACATGTACTAACAGGCTATTAATGTCAGCAGTTTTTAAAAAGCACTGTAGTAAACTTAAAGAGGATGAACAATTAGGGATCACAGAACAGTAAACAAGAACACAAAGAAATAACTAGGAACTGTAAAACAAACATCAATTACACCATGCAGCAGGTTCCTTTAGTAGGAGAACATCTGGCCATGCGATTCTGTAACCCACAGCAGTGTTCTATAAGAATCTCAGTGTGTGAAGTTGTAGTTTAAACGTGCAAATTTCAAATAAGGTTGTCTTGAGACAAGCCTGAGGAAAAAGTTTTGTAATGTTTGATTCTCTATTCTCTGATTTAAAGCGGGTCAGAACAGGAAGTCCATCCATCTACAAATGTACCATTCTTATGCACTGACAGAGTGATTGTAAGATGTGGGTTTAAAGAAAACAGAGCATTGAGAGATCCTTTCTGAAGCCACTAAATTTATGTACAGGGAATTTCTAACAGTTTGAGGGCTTGACATGTTTTGACAACTGTGTGCGCTAATGTGCAGGGGATGATGTGAACAGCGAAATAATTCTTAAATGTTTAAATTTTGCCACACCCCTATTCTTGACTCACGCCACTATGCTTACATCTGCCGACATTTTCTGGATAGATTTGCAACAGGAACAAGAAGATACTAACAAAGCAAGGTGCAGGACAGTGAAAGGGAAGCAGAGAACACAAGGGAACCTACCAAAGGTGGGAGGGTAACCCTGCATATGAAGAACCCTCATTAAGCCTGTCCAGCATGGCAGGAGCAATCAGACAGACAACTCATTCTCCATTCCTGCACCTCACTGCATCTTTTATCTCTCTTGCACACAGCAGTAAATGGCAACACTACTCTGGCCATTTCTACACTGAACGAGCTGTTATTCAGAATTTAGAATTTTCTCTCCTGCTTCCCTGATTGTTTGTTTCTTTGTTTGACACTGGACTGTGGTGAGGCAGTCTGAGCAAAGGTTCCCACTTTGTGGAAAAAAAAAAAAAAAAAAAAAAAAAAAAAAGACTAAGCAATAATGTAACACCTGCATTTTTTTCTACATAAAATGGTTTTAATCTGCACTATTTGGAGTACGTTGATTTGAAGGTGTGCTTCATGTGCTACATATTCATAGACACACACAAACATGTACATAAACACACCTGCTGCTGCCGCCACATTTGCTGTTCTGCCATTGCTCTGGAATGGGTTGGTGGGAGCTGAGGCAGCTACAAATGGATTAGTTGACTGAACTGTTCAAGAGGGGTATCAAGTCACCAAACATAAGTACAGAGTAAGAAACAGAACAATAAAGTGCATTACCTAAATGGGTTATAAACCTAAACAGTCATTCACTGAGGATATAATACATTTATAAACTGTACCTCATCCTGAGATTGTCCCTCGTTTCCAACATTGCTTTACTTTCCAAATCATTGCCAAGTTCAAGGTCAACTAGCACAAACCACCAGAAAACAACCCATAGGGTTCACTCACCTACAAAACCTTGAGGCATGCCAGGCAGGGGCTGCTGTGCTTGTGCTGTTGACACCCCAGTCTCTGAGCCAAACACAACCCTACAGTGAAAAAACACACATAGGCTTGTCAAGTAAGCCATGAAAATTAAAAGGCCAGAAACCACTGAATAATACTGTATATTAGGGAGTGTGATCACTGCATGTCTGCAGGTCAGGTTAAATAAAAATAACTTCACTGGTGAAAACTATCAGACAGTTGTGATTGTATTCTAACTGTGGCACTATTTTACAACAACCCTGTGAATGATTTGTCCTCAAACATTTTCACTAAACTAAATAACCAGAAAGCTGTGGCTTACAATGTGTATTAGTAGCTAAAAAGATATTTCCTTCATAAAACTCAAATGAACATTTCTGTGAGACCTAAACCTTGTCTTGAATAATGTGAATCAACTTATACTAATACAATTAACAAAACTGTATTTAGTTACAGATTGAGACTTGGGGACTCCACCATAGCAAGGGGCTTGTGTAGGTGTTTAGCTGAGTGTCTCACCCTTGTGAGGTGCTGGGGGTGTTGTAAACACTTGTGGCAGGGACTGAGGAACTAAAGACGGTATCAAGCTCAGCTAGAGCAGCATAGCGGTCCCCCCCTAGTGGCACTGCAGGTTGCTTCTGAAGCAAACCACCTACTCCTGCCGC